AATCGATGAGGAACATCTTCGAAACCTAGTTTCTAGTATGCCACGCAGACTCTTTGATGTTGCTCTTAAACAAGGAGGAGCTATAGATTATTAAGTGTTGTGCATATGTCATCAACGTTAAAAAATCATTTATTTTCTCAGGGTGACCTTATAATTATGAAACGCTGCAAAAGCCGACACTATCTCTAAAAAATTTATAAAAGATTTGAGGTGAAGGATATTGCGACCAAAATTTGAGTACGGAGGTACATTGTGATGGGGAATCTTACAGTGTTTGCCAAAAAATTCCATTCCGGCTGCTTTCTCCAGAATTGCGAAAATCGAGGGTGACCTTATAATTATGAAACACACTGTATTTCACAGTCAAGTTGCCTGGAATATCCGACCTACTTTACAGCAAGTATATCGATGATTGCTTCATAGACTGTGTAACACACGAAGAACTAGATGTGTTTTTTGCCTTACTAAATTCACAATCAGAGCACATCACGTTAACACGGGAAAAACCGACCGGAAGTTGGCTTCCTTTCTTAAACGTTCAAGTGAGGTTACGGGGCGACATGATTGTTACAAAGTGGTACAGAAAGCCTAGCAATAAGAACATAATTGTTCATTATCACACAACTCATCCTTTTTACATAGGACGAGCGGTCGTTAGGAATATATTCCGCACTGCTGAGAAGGTTTGCACTGGGGGGATGAGAGAAAAGAGCCGCTTAAAATGGCACGCGATATAGCTTGGTTGAATGGCTACTACAATTTTCCAACGACACGCAGAGCTTATTCTGGTGGTGTGATTCTCAGACATGGTAGTATCTAGATTGAAGGAAATACTTCTTCTGCACTACTATTTATTTATGATGAAGTCAGTGCCTCCATTAGAAAGTGTCTAAAGAGATCGGGCTCGGAAAATTTAGTCGCTACTGTAAACGTAACACTCCTCTTAAAGAAGCGCCTGGTTCGGAACAGGCTATACTATCGCCTATGTACAACTTGAAACTGTGTGGTTTGTCCAGCTGGAAGGGAAGGTGATTGTAAAATGTCTGGGGTGGTCTACAAGATTACTTGCCGTGATTGTGGTGATGAGTATATTGGAGAAACGGCAAGACCACTTCACGTAAGGGTTAAGGAGGACATAGATGGTTTGGGGCGGTTGAAAGAGCTGCATTAGGGAGTCACCGAAACTAACATCATAAAGGAGGCGTTTTTGAGGTCACCGTGGAGGTCGTAGTGCAGGAGACGCAATTGTGCGTGCGTGAAACCCTCGAGGTATTTTGGATACAAGTCACTGATCCAAAAATGAGTCGCATGGAAGAATGTTTCGCAATCACGCGATAGCTGCGGCTTATATAAGATTGGCCTTCCCGCATTGACTTTGAATGAGGACTTACTCCAGCTAGCACTGGTCGGTTGGTGGCATCACTAGCTGGGAGGTTTCGAAGAATCCACGGAGCTACGGTGAGTGCTTCTCATTTTGATCACCTGCTTGCCCTCAGAGTCTCGAACTTCAATGAGTAGGTGGAGACGTTTGGTAGGATAATCACAGATTGTTAATATCCTTTCAGGCTCTGAAGACGAATAGGGTTTGGGCGTATTAAAAGTGTGGACGGAAATTTATAACTTCTGTTCCATGGACTTGGAAAGTTCAAAATTGGTTGGAGTAGAAGGGGCATGATTGCAACACTGGTGATAGAAGAAGCCTTAGAGAGCAAGAACCACTTACCAATTGAATCCTAACGCTTTGCTATTTACGATCTCGCGTTGCTCTTCGATATGCTTCATTCGACAAGATGAGCAAGTGCAGTGATAAGTTCCATGTACGTCTTTCTATGGACTTCGGCATGACTGTATTGTTGAGTTTATTGTCTTCTTGAACTCTTCACGAGGTTTGTAAACAAGCTTTATTAGGCTGACGTTTCGGCGATATGCCTTCTTCAGGGCCTGAAAGGATCATAACAATCTGTGATTAAACATCTCCACCAACTCACCGGAGTTCGAGACCCTGACGGCACGCAGGTGATCAAAAGGAGAAGCACTCACCGTAGCTTCGTAGATTCTTTGAAACCACCCAGCTAGTGATGGTTCCAACCGACCAGTGCCAGCTGAAGTAAGTCCTCATTCAAAGTCAATGCGGGAAGGTCAATCTTATATAAGACTGCAGCTCCCACGTGATTGCGAGACATTCTCCTCTTTTTGTTAATTTTGTTGGTGTTGGTGACCTGTATCCAAAATGCCTCGAGGGTTTTACGCGCGCACAATTGCGACTCCTGCGCCACGACCTCCACGGTGACCTCTGAAACGCTTCCGTTATCTCTTTAAATTTGGTGGCTCCCTGAAGCAGTAGGCTCTTCCAATCGCTTCATACAATCTATGTGCTCCTCAACCCTCACGTGGAGTGGTCTTGCCGTCTCGCCATTATACTCATCACCACAACCACGGCAAGTAGTCTTGTACACCACCCCAGACATGTTGCAATCACCTTCCTTTCCAGCTGGACAGACCACACAGTTTGAGGTTGTACATAGGCGATCGTATAGCCTGTTCCGAACTAGGCGCTTCTCTAGATTGAATGGTGGTAGGTCTACAAAAGCAACTGAATTTTCCAAACAAGAGCCTTTTAGACACTTTGGATTCACTGATCTCATTAGAAGTAAATGGTAGTACAAAAGGATTCTTTCCTTCCATTGAAGCGCTACCTTGTCGGAGGATCAATTCAGCAGCAGCTCTGCGTGTAGTTGGAAATTTGTATAGTAGCCATTCGACCAAGATATATCGTGTACCATTTTAAGCGACTCTTTTCG